CAGACACATGCACCCAGGGCCCCAAGGGGACAGAGTTGGTAACCAGGGCCCAGATGCCCCCCAAGGCATCCGGCGGGAGGCCACGCGGCAACATGGATCTGCGCAGGGATGCGGGCCTCCACGCCAGGCCGGGGGCACAGGGCAGCGCGGAGCCGCCGGGCTGCGGCTGCGGGCGTGCAGGGCCACAGAGCAAACATCCTGGGTGGCCAGCTTTATGGTCTCTGTCCGCCTCGATGGGTTTTATGGGCCGCCGGGCTCCAGCGCTCAAGTGACCTTGCTCAGGAAATCCGGCCTGCGGGGCAGGGCCGAGGATGGGGGACAGGAGGTGTCTGTTTGCTGGGTGGGGTGGGGTGCAGGGGGGGTGCTGCCATAGCTGCCACCGGCCCCAGCTAAGGGCACCAGTACCCCCCTCACAGGGGAGCCTGGGGACCCCCCACCCCGTTTCCTGGGGCCTGTCCCCCGAGCTCCAGTGCTGTGGGTGTGGGGAGGGGAGGGAGGGCTGGGGGCCGGGCCTGCTGGGCGCAGCACGTGCCGGGCGGCCTTGGGCCCCGGTGGGTAGCGGGTCACAGCATTTTCACGGGGCATCGTGGCCTCCGGTGTGGTGGGCTTGGCAGTTTCCTGACTCCCACCCCGCGGTGGCGGGCGACCCTCACCTGGCCGCTTGTGCTCCGTGAAGGTTGGGGACAGGTGGGAGGGGGGTCTGCCCGCATCCCGGCTGTGCTGGAGGTGGGGGGTTGGGAGGCTCCTCCGTGGTAGAGACACCACCTGGCGCCCAACACGTTGCCTCCGTCCTTCTACAAGCGTTACCCGTGATAGCCAAGGGGCAGCCCGGACCAATGCCGGGCTGAGCAAAGGCGTGAGGAGGGGGTCGGGCGCTGCCCCCTAGCTCCCGGGACTCCGGGACAGCTCAGGGGCAGCAGGGCCCCGGGGCTGCCGCAGCCCCCCCTTCCCCAGGCTGGAGCGCGGGGGTGCAGGCTGTGGATGCATTGAACAGCTCCCACCGACCACCCCCAGAGGAGAGCTCCACGCTGTGCGAGTTCCGCGTGCTGATGTAGTTGTATTTTTTCATGGAATTCCAGTGTGGGGGACCGTCCCCCGGCCCACTCGGGCCTCTGGACGCTGGCGGGCCTGTGCACGGGCCCACGTGTGGGTCCCAGTGCTCTCCTGGCCAGGAGCGCGGCGCTGATTAAATCAGTGTGCACAGCTGGGCGGGGGGGGGGGGGCCCTCCCCTCCCACCTCCCGGTTGCTGGGGGCCTGGTGGAGCCCGGGGCAAGGTTGGCATTGATTGTCTTCTCTTCGCAAGGACAGCGGCCTTATCGCTCGGCCTCCCCGCCGGCGTCTGTCCTCTGCAGAGCAACCCCCCATCTGACTCTAGCTTGGCCTCTTCCAGATCTTTTTTTTTTTTTTTTGCAGTTTGAGTCCCTTGTGGCCTCCAGAAAGAAGAGCCTCCCTCCCTCCCCGTCCGTCCATGTCTGCCCACGCCGGCCCTGTGGACCGGCTGGACCTGTGACATTTGCTTTTGTGGCTGCAGCCGGTGCGGCTCCAGGACGGCTGGGGGAGGAGGGGGCCTCCCCCCACCTCGCAGTCACCCTGGGGAGACTGAGGCACAAAGGGAGGGTGCGGACGAAGCAGACGCGGCCCCGGGGCGTGGGGCGTGCGGGGACCGGGGCAGCGGCGTGCGGGCACCAGGCACAGGCGTGTGGGCACCAGGCGCGGGCGTGTGGGCACCCAGGCGCAGGCGTGTGGGCACCAGGGTGCGGGCGTGTGGGCACCAGGGGCAGGCGTGTGGGCACCAGGGCGCGGGCGTGTGGGCACAGGGGCGGGCGTGTGGGCAGGCGCTGGGGCACCAGGCGCGGGCGTGTGGGCACCAGGCGGCGGGCGTGTGGGCACCAGGGGCGGGCGTTGTGGGGCACCAGGGCGGCGGGGTTGGGGCACCAGGCGCGGGCGTGTGGGCACCAGGGGCAGGGCGTGTGGGCACCGGGGGCGGGTGTGTGGGCACCGGGGGCGGGTGTGTGGGCACCAGGGGCGGGCGTGTGGGCACCAGGCGCAGGCGTGTGTGGGCACCAGGCGCAGGCGTGTGGGGCACCGGGGGCGGGTGTGTGGGCACCCAGGCGCAGGCGTGTGGGCACCGGGGGCGGGTGTGTGGGCACCAGGGGCGGGCGTGTGGGCACCAGGGGCGGGCGTGTGGGCACCAGGCGCAGGCGTGTGGGCACCAGGGGCGGGCGTGTGGGCACCAGGGGCGGGCGTGTGGGGCACCAGGGGCGGGCGTGTGGGCACCAGGGGCGGACGTGTGGGCACCAGGGGCGGGCGTGTGGGCACAGGGGCGGGCGTGTGGGCACCAGGGGCGGGGCGTGTGGGCACAGGGGCGGGCGTGTGGGCACAGGGGCAGGCGTGTGGGCACAGGCGCGGGGCGTGTGGGGCACCAGGCGCGGGCTTTCGGGCACCAGGGGCGGGCGTGTGGGCACAGGCGCGGGCGTGTGGGCACCAGGGGCGGGCATGCGGGCACCAGGGGCGGGCGTGTGGGCACCAGGCGCGGGCGTGCGGGCACCAGGGGCGGGCGTGTGGGCACCAGGCGCGGGCGTGTGGGCACCAGGGGCAGGCGTGTGGGTACCAGGGGCGGGCGTGTGGGCACAGGGGCGGGCGTGTGGGCACCAGGGGCGGGCGTGTGGGCACAGGGGCAGGCGTGTGGGCACAGGGACAGGCGTGTGGGCACAGGCGCGGGCGTGTGGGCACCAGGCACGGGCGTGTGGGCACCAGGCGGGGGCGTGTGGACACAGGGGCGGGCGTGTGGGCACCAGGCGCGGGCGTGTGGGCACCAGGCGGGGGCGTGTGGGCACCAGTCCAGGGCGTGTGGGCACCAGGCGAGGGCGTGTGGGCACCAGGGGCGGGCGTGTGGGCACCAGGGGCGGACGTGTGGGCACCAGGGGCAGGCGTGTGGGCACAGGGGCAGGCGTGTGGGCACCAGGCGCGGGCGTGTGGGCACCAGGCGGGGGCGTGTGGGCACCAGTCCCGGGCGTGTGGGCACCAGGCGAGGGCGTGTGGGCACCAGGCGCGGGCGTGTGGGCACCAGGGGCGGGCGTGTGGGCACCAGGGGCAGGCGTGTGGGCACCAGGGGGCGGGCGTGTGGGCACAGGGGCAGGCGTGTGGGCACCAGGCGCGGGCGTGTGGGCACCAGGGGCGGGCGTGTGGGCACCAGGCGCAGGCGTGCGGGCACCAGGGGCAGGCGTGTGGGTACCAGGGGCGGGCGTGTGGGCACCAGGGGCAGGCGTGTGGGTACCTGGGGCAGGCGTGTGGGCACCAGGGGCGGGCGTGTGGGCACCAGGCGCGGGCGTGTGGGCACAGGGGGCGGGCGTGTGGGCACAGGGGCGGGCGTGTGGGCACAGGGGCAGGCGTGTGGGCACCAGGCGCGGGCGTGTGGGCACCAGGGGCGGGCGTGTGGGCACCAGGCGCAGGCGTGCGGGCACCAGGGGCAGGCGTGTGGGCACCAGGGGCGGGCGTTTGGGCACCAGGCGCAGGCGTGCGGGCACCAGGGGCAGGCGTGTGGGTACCAGGGGCGGGCGTGTGGGCACCAGGCGCGGGGCGTGCGGGCACTGGGACAGCGGCGTGTGGGTACCAGGCGCGGGCGTGCAGGCACTGGGACAGCGGCGTGCGGCATCATCGCCGTGGCGGGCATTCCACACTCGAGCCAGGTCTCCACGGCCGTCTGTTGCTGGTTTATTTGGAAGTGAGGGTTCAGCGTTGTCTGCCGTGGCTGCTCCGCACTGCCTCTCCGGTCTCGGCCTCCTGAGCAGCTGGGGGCGCAGATGTGTGCCAGTGGCTTTTCTTCAGTCTCGTCTTCAATCAAACCTGGGCCCAGGGCTCTGCCACCCAGCCACCTTCCGCCCCGGAGGATGGGCCTTCGGGAACGCCCCTTCCAAAACAGGGGTCCACTCTCGAGAAAAGCACGCTCCTTTGCAAACGCTTTGGTGATCACGGAGTCATTTCACCAAACAGTCTCTCTCGGTGTGCGGTGTGTGCGTCTTGCTTATCATATTCTTGCAGCAGTGGGATGGCTCACGCCTCCTTGGGAGGCTGCAATTGAGAGGCTGGAGGTCTGAGGCCAACCTGGGCATGCACAGACCACTTCTCCACTCACAGGCGCTGGGGGCAGCCGTTGGCTCGGTCATCCCAGCCGAGCAGGAGGCTGAAATCAGGAGCATGGCAGGTCCTGGACATCCCAAGCAGAAAAACCAGCGAGGTTCCCTCTCATGGAGAAAGCTGGTGGTGCTCATTCAGCAGGGAGATGAAGACCTGGAGGAGGGGGCAGGGCTGGCACAGGAGCCCTGGAGCCCCGGCCCCTTCCTATTTGGGCGCCTTGGTCTCTACGGGGTCCCCTGCCCCGGGCTTCCCGTTCGTGCAGGCAATGGGTGTGGAAGCCCGCAGGTTGCCTGGCGCCGGGGCAGCTCCAGCCATTGTAGCCAGGCCCAAGCCCAGGGCCCAGGGCCAAAGTGCAGCGTGAGCTGCTCCCACGGCCGCCTCAGGGGCTGGGCTGCCCACGGCAGGGCCAAGGAGGGTCGGTGAGGGCGCGAGGGGACGGCCGGGGGCGTGGCCATCTCAGCGGCTTCGGTGCGCAGGTGATGGACGGCGGACGCGAGCCCAGCAGGGCCACGGGTGTCCTTGCAGGGGGTCACAGCCCAGTCACCGCACCGCCGTGGGCCCTGCTGCCACGCAGGCCCAGCAGCGGACCCCATGGGGCCCGACCCCAGGCCGGCGCCCTTGGAGGCCCTACTTCCTGACAGACAGAGGACCCTGCAAGCGTCACTCACCCCGTGCTCTCCTGGGACCAGCCCCCCACCCGCAGCCCTGCACGGCGGCGCGTGGCCAACCCACAGAGACAGGCCATGGATCCACCCGCTCCCGTGGCAGCCAACCACCACACACAGCCGGAAGTCAGGCACTGCCGGGCATTTATTCTGCTCTGGGTCTGCTGGGGGGGGGGGGGTCTTGGGGGGTATGGCCTCTAGAGCAGGGCGGCGGGGGCCACCAGGTGGCCGCTGAAGGTGATGGACAGGTCTCCAGGCTCACCGTAGATGGCGTTGTCGTGGTCGCGGTGGAGCATGCACACCCAGACGGCGCTGCCGGCGGCCAGCGGCAGCAGCAGGCTCTGGGCCTGCATGAGGCTGCGCTGGCTGGGCTGCGCGTACAGCACGGCCGCGGGCCGCGGGTCCAGCGTGATGTGCAGTAGGCCTCCGTGTAGCTCCAGGTGTGCACGTGCAGGCTCAGGAAGTAGACGCCAGGCACGGCACAGCGGAAGCGGCCCGCAGCCAGGTCGAAGGCCGCGTCCATGTTCACCAGCGCCGTGTCAAAGGGCACCGCCCGGAAGCCGTCCGCGCTCTGCAGCCCCTCACGCCGGCCCACCGAGAAGGCCGCGTGGGGGCGCCGGCAGGGGGGGCCCGGGCCCCCGCTTGCCCCTTCTGGCCTTTGTGGCCCGGCTGCCCCCGGGGTCCCGGAGGACCCCCCTTCCCGCTCCGTCCTGAGCGGCCGCGGACGCCTTCCTGGCCCTTCTCTCCTGCAGGGGAGCGGGCGGAAGCTGCAGGTCAGGGGCCAGGCCGGGTCAGCACCTTCACCTTAGCGCTTCCTGGCCTCGGTTTCCTCTGTAAGGGGGTCTAGCCCTGCCCCTCAGGCAGGCCATGAGATGCCGCTCCACACGCTGTGGCCTAGGTGGCGGTCATGGGCCGGTGGGAGGGGGGAGCCTGTGTGGACCAGCCCCCGGGCCCCGCCTAGGGCGATCTGCACCCCGGGTGACCACTCACCTTTGAGGATGTCGATGGTGGGGCGCACGCGGGAGGCCCTGCCCACGGGTCTCCGGCGCTCGCCCGGGCATCCGGCATGGCCACAGCCGGGGACCCGGCCTGGTGGCAGCAGGGCACACAGGGCTGACCCGGAAGCCCCAGGCCCATCCAGGCTCCCACGGGCAGCACCAGGGCCAGGACCATGAGGCCCGGGCCTGCCATCACAGTCAGACCTGCAGGGGAGGGGCAGGTGAGGAGGAGAGGCCCTGGGGGGGTGTCACGTGCCCACTGTGCCCTTCCCTGGATCGGTAGATGACTAGAGGCCCCTTAGATGGACGGTCAGGAAGCCAGGGCAGCTCTGCCCGCCCACCTCCCAGGCTCCTATGGGCTAGGCAGAGCCACGGTGGGCGTGGCCGCCACTATGGGCGTGGCCACCATGTGCTAGGTGGAGCCACTGTGGGATGGGCGTGGCCACCATGGGATGGGCGTGGCCACCATGGGATGGGTGTGGCCACCATGTGCTAGGCGGAGCCACTGTGGGATGGGCGTGGCCACCATGGGATGGGCGTGGCCACCGTGGGATGGGCTCTCTCAGGAAGTTCTTCAGGCTCTTCCAGGAAGGGCAGAGCCCCCAGAGCTGGCCCTGGGGGAGACCTTTTCTGAGGCCCAGCCCAGGGGACAGGCCGCCCCCACCCTAGCAGACTCAGAAGAGCCTCAGGACGCTGGAGTGTGCGTGTGGTAATAGGCTGTAGCTCCGGCTCTGGGCCTCCCCTCCGGAAGAGCCCCAGGACCGGGGGCTCAGATCAGTGAGGCCACCAGAACAAGACCCCACTCCACACGTCCCTCACCAGTCTGGGCCTCAGCTTCCTTCCTGGCCAGGGGCCTGGTCTCACAAGCCCCATCGGGGGCTGCAGGATCTCTTTCTGGGCAGCAGGCCAGGTCAACCCCCCAGGAGCTTCCCTGTGGCCTCTACTGGATGCAGACCCACCCCGTCCCCAGGAAGCCTGCAAACTTGAGGCTCTGCCCAAGCCCCCCCAGAACCCCCAGACCTCACCAGCTGGCCGGGCCAGAGAGCCAGGCCCGTGTCCTCCCAGGTGAGCCAGGCAGCAGCCCCACAGGAGACACACTGCACCCCAACCCCTCACCCCTGCAGCTCGGGGCCCCCCCGTGGAGGAGGGGTCCCCCTCACCCCTGCAGCTCGGGGTCCCCTGTGGAGGAGGGGGTCCCCTCACCCCTGCAGCTCGGGGCCCCCCGTGGAGGAGGGGTCCCCCTCACCCCTGCAGCTCGGGACCCCCGTGGAGGAGGGGGTCCCCGCATGCCGTGAAGACCGCACCCCTTGGCTCCCTCCCTGTTACCATCTCCCTTAGAGCATGGCCGCTGTCCTGCCGTCCCAGCTCCCAGCTCCGTGCTCAGCCGCCCGCCAAAGGGCCTTTCATGGGCCTGGGCGCCGGTGGCTTCCTGTGCTCCATCCAAGGCCCACAGGCCAGGCTGAGGGCCAGCGCATGGAGCGGTGGAGCAGAAGGAAGCGTGCTCAGCACCCTCCCTCCATCTGCCACCTGCTATGGCCTCCAGGGTCCTCCTGCCAGCCGCCCCCGCCCCCGCCCCCCACCCCCCACCCCCACCCCCTGCTCCCCACCCCCACCCCCACTCCCTGCCCCCCACCCCCTGCCCCCCGCCCCCACCCCCACCCCCTGCCCCCCGCCCCCACCCCCCACCCCCTGCCCACCTCCCCCACCCCTCACCCCCACCCCCGTCCCCCGCCCCCTGCCCGTGGGTGGCTCTGGGTTTGCCAGGCCTCGGCTGGCTACAGTGGGAGTGTTGCCTGGGACTGGCGTCTCCTCCACCGCAGGAGCTGGAGCACGCTGCCCGCTTGGGGCAGGGAGAAGTCTAGGGGACCCGGGCACCAGGCTAGCTTGGCCACCAACTGGCCTGGTGACGTGGTGTCTGGCGGCAGACAGAGCGCCCTGGAGCGTGTGCATGGTCTGCTACAGGTATCTGCACACACACGTGCACGCACCCGCAGGCACACACACTGGCACACTCCCGGACACCCTGGGAGGCCGGCAGGGCAGGCAGCGGCCCTGGGAACAGCCCCCCCCCCGTGGGCTGCAGCTGGCTCACCCACACCCCGCAGCCCGGGAGCGCCTTAGCTTGCCCAGAAAGCCGAGCAGCGGGGCGGCCACGAGGCGCTGGCCCTGCCCCTGCCGCCTGGGGGCTGGGGGCTTCTCTGGTGGGTGGCTCCCAGAGGAAGATGCACACCTGCTCCGAGCCTCAGTTTCCCCTTGTCAAGCAGGCTGCGCTGCAGCTCGGAAGGGGCTGGAGGGGCCTCCCCCTCCCCCCCCCCCCCCGCGCCACCCCCCGGCACCCCAACACCTGCGAAGCTGCCCCCAGAGACAGGGAAAGGCTCCAGTCCACGGGGGTGGGGGGCTCCCTGGGCCCTGCCGGGGCAGGCGGGTGGGCCCCGCTCCCCGCAAGGCCGGGTGCGTACACAGGGTGACTCAGCCGGCAGGACAGCGAGTCTCCGGACAGAAATAGCCCGGGCTCCGAGAGGCCACCCGCATCGCCGTGGCGACGGGAGCGGAGGCGGAGGCCGTCCGGCCCCTGGCGCCCGGCGGTGGCCTCCCCGCGCCAGCCCCAGTCCCCAGGCCACGCTCTCCTCCCCAGGGAGCTGGGGCAGGCTCAGGCACGGGCCACTGCACCCTGGCCTCTCCCAAAGCTCCAGATCTGCCCCTGCTGGAGAGAGGCCGCTCGGGTCCTCAGCAAGCTCAGGGTCCGGTCTCTGCCGGAGGGGGGCTCCCTGAGGAGGCCTGCCTGTGGACATCTCAGTAGGATCGGTGGTCAGCCAAGCGGCGCCTCCCCGCCACGCACACCCTTCCCCGCTGTAAACTGTGCCGCCCACCGGACGGGCAGGCGGGAGCCCTGAAGCCGTTAAAATGTGCGGCTCGATCCCAACCAAGCCTGGGGTGTGGATGCAGGTCCAGCTGGGGGCATCAGAGTGTGAACTCACACCCCACACCCCCCCTGAGAGTGTGAACTCACACCCCACACTCCCCCCTGAGAGAGTGAACTCACACCCCACACTCCCCCGAGAGAGTGAACTCATACCCCCACACTCCCCCCTGAGAGTGTGAACTCACACCCCCCACACACCCCCCTGAGAGTGAACTCACACCCCCACACTCCCCCCTGAGAGTGAACTCACACCCCCCCCACACCCCCCTAAGAGTGAACTCACACCCCCACACTCCCCCCTGAGAGAGTGAACTCACACCCCCACACTCCCCCCTGAGAGTGAACTCACACCCCCCCACACTCCCCCTGAGAGAGTTAACTCACACCCCCACACTCCCCCTGAGAGTGAACTCACACCCCCACACTCCCCCCTGAGAGTGAACTCACACCCCCACACTGCCCCTGAGAGTGTGAACTCACACCCCCACACTCCCCCTGAGAGTGTGAACTCACACCCCCCACACTCCCCCCTGAGAGAGTGAGCTCACACCCCCCACACTCCCCCCTGAGAGTGAACTCACACCCCCACACTCCCCCTGAGAGTGTGAACTCACACCCCCACACTCCCCCTGAGAGTGTCTCACACCCCCACACTCCCCCCTGAGAGAGTGAACTCACACCCCCACACTCCCCCCTGAGAGAGTGAACTCACACCCCCCACACTCCCCCTGAGAGTGTCTCACACCCCCACACTCCCCCCTGAGAGAGTGAACTCACACCCCCACACTCCCCCTTGAGAGTGAACTCACACCCCCACACTCCCCCTGAGAGTGTGAACTCACACCCCCCACACTCCCCCTGAGAGAGTGAACTCACACCACCACACCCCCCCGAGTGTGAACTCACACCCCCCACACTCCCCCTGAGAGTGTCTCACACCCCCACACTCCCCCCTGAGAGAGTGAACTCACACCCCCACACTCCCCCTGAGAGTGTGAACTCACACCCCCACACTCCCCCTGAGAGTGTGAACTCACACCCCCACACTCCCCCTGAGAGAGTGAACTCACACCCCCACACCCGCCCTGAGTGTGAACTCACACCCCCCACACTCCCCCTGAGAGTGTCTCACACCCCCACACTCCCCCCTGAGAGAGTGAACTCACACCCCCACACTCCCCCCTGAGAGTGAACTCACACCCCCACACTCCCCCCTGAGAGAGTGAACTCACACCCCCCACACTCCCCGAGAGTGTCTCACACCCCCACACTCCCCCCTGAGAGTGAACTCACACCCCCACACTCCCCCCTGAGAGTGAACTCACACCCCCACACTCCCCCCTGAGAGGGAACTCACACCCCCACACTCCCCCCTGAGAGAGTAAACTCACACCACCCACACTCCCCCCTGAGAGTGAACTCACACCCCCACACTCCCCCCTGAGAGAGTGAACTCACACCCCCACACTCCCCCCTGAGAGTGAACTCACACCCCCACACTCCCCCCTGAGAGTGTGAACTCACACCCCCACACTCCCCCCT